AATAAGAAAAACCTGCCCTCTATATACAATGTACATAATGAAAATATAATTAAAAAAAAACATTTTGATAATATATAATTCAATCACATGTAAACACAATGTCATTTATTCACAATGAATATTCAATGAAGATTTCTACCCTATTGTTGTAGTATATTATTTTGCTTGTATGCTTTTTTTAAGTATGTATATTTTTTCTAAAATTTAATTAATTTAGCTATGGTTAATATATAATATGAATATAATGATCCACCCCTGGTTGCATTATGTAAATTGATGATAATTCCATKTTGCTCCTGTCATTTTTGTTCTTGCTCAACACAATTTTCTCCTTCAACAAATCCATCAATATGTACAATAACAACTTCTTCTTCGTCAGTATAATGCACTTGTAGTTGTTCTTCTTCTTGYTGTTTTTTCTGTTCTTGTTCTTGCTGCTGTTCCTCTGTTTGCTGATCCACTCKGTTTYCCTCTTCAACTTSATCTGTATGACTACATGTACTWAGATGCCTTTTCAAAGAAGCTTGACAAGAGAATGACTTTGTRCAATGAGAACATTTAAAATATTTTCTCTTCCCTGTGTGTATAGTGAGATGTCTGTTTAAATTACCACTCTCAGTGAACCTCTTCTTGCAGTAGGAACATTCATAAGGCTTCTCTCCAGTATGAACYCTACAGTGCTTCTTCAAATCATGATTTGTTGAAAACTTCTTCTCACAATAACTGCATGCAAAGGTTTTACTATCTGGGTGAATGTTAAGGTGATGCTTCAAATCAACTCTATTATCAAACTTTTCATCACAGAAAGAGCACTCATATGTTTTGTTTTTATCTTTGCCATGGGTTTTATGCTGCTTCTTGAGATTTCCTCCTGTGGAAGATGTTTTTTCCATGTCTGATTGTTGAGTTCCTTCTGTCAGATCGGTCCGTCTGTCCACATTGTTCTCATCATTTGTGTCCTCAATATGTTTGTCTTGTTTTCTCTTGTGTATTTTGACGTGCTTGTTTAAGTTACCACTTTCYGAAAACTTCTTGTGACATGTAGGGCATTCAAATGGCTTCTCCCCCGAGTGAACTCGTAGATGCTTTGTRAAGTCATGCTTTGATGTGCATGTCTTCTTGCAATGTGGACATTCAAAGGTTTTCTGACTTTGTTCCCCATKTAAACTTCTCTGTTGTTGTGCACTTGAATTTTCATCTCCAAATTGTCTACAGTGCCGTAGTACRTGCTTATTCAGATTGCCTTTCTCTGAAAACTTTTTAAAACAATGAGAGCACTCAAATGGCTTYTCCCCTGAATGGACTCTGAAATGCTTAATCAGGTCACACTTTGAGGTAAAGGTTTTTCCRCATTGTGGGCATTCCCTGGAGTTCTGCAAAGAAGGTTCAATACTGTTTATACTTGGATTAATAGAGCCTTCTGCATTTTGCTTTGGTTTCCTGGAATGTATYTGTAAGTGTTTTCTCAGGTTTCCTTTCTCAGAGAACTTTTTATTRCAGTGAGAACACTCAAAAGGCTTCTCACCAGTGTGGACTCTCAGATGYTTTACCATGTCATACTTTGAAGTAAATCKTTTGTCACATTGAGMACAATCAAAGGGTTTGTGACCTGTGTGTCTTTTGAGATGTGATTTCAAAATTGCTCTCTTTGAAAACGCTTTCTTGCAAATAGAGCACTCAAACACTTTTTCTGCATTKTCAGTWTGTGTAGCAGTGACGGCACTTTGGTTTTCGGTTAYTGMAGGTGCATSTTTATCAGAAGCTGGAATATTTCCATCCATCATTTCAGTTTGTACTTTATGTTGTTTCAGATGTTTATTCAGATTTCCTCTTTCAGTGAACTTCTTATTGCAATGAGAGCATTCAAATGGCTTCTCTCCYGTGTGAATCCTTGTGTGCTTGATCAAATCATACCTTCTTGAAAAATTCTTATTGCAGTGCAAGCATTCGAAAGGTTTCTCTCCTGTGTGTGTTCTTAAATGACAAATAAGTTGCGAGCTGTTGGGGAATGTTTTSTYGCAGTAAGAACACTGGAATAAACTGTTYRTTGAGCCACTATTATCATCAATTTGTACTTCAGCTTCATTATTACTGATAACATCTTCCTCTACAATGTCATTGTCGACTAAAGTGTCACTAGAGGACGATTCTAACTCTTCT